TCCAATGAGGCAGAGGGAGCAAGGGATGGAAGACGAAGAATTGAAGACTTAGAAAAATATTAGGATAGTTTTATTTAAATTTAAATAAATGTAATATTATTATTGTAAACATTTTGTAAACAAAAACAATTATACAAATAATTTAAAGATAAATAAAAAGTCCTTTTATTTGATTAATTCTTTTTATTCTTTTCAAGATATTTATCTAATTGTTTATAATTCTTAAATTAAAATAAAAATGGAAATAAATTCCAATTATGTTAACTTAAAAATAAATAATCAATTGGTAAACATTGTGGTCTTATGACAAACCTGGCGCTCCAATTATCCAAAGCAACGCATAGTTTCAAACCAAGCGACAATCAATTAAACAAAACGTCCATCTGCCTCTTTTCACTGATTAAATCCAACAAATGCAAATTCAATCCAAATGCATCCTTTCACTGATTTAGTCAAATACTGCGAATTCAATCCAAATGTTTCAATCCACATCTCAGAATAACTTGACAAGCACTGTAGAATTAAATCTTTCTGAGGAACCGCGCATAAAAACCCTAATTCCTGATCAAATGCCAAAGAAGCGTTCGCCTGATCGAAGCTGAACCAAAATCAACCAAAACCCTAAGCAAACTGTGTGAACTGTTCTAGAGCCATGAAAACCAATGAAAACCCTAATTTTGTCTGACTGACGAGAAAAGTCTGTTTGACCGATTTTTAAGGAAAAATGCGAGGGCAAATTTTGGGGTACAACAGGGCCCAAGCGAGTACATCTTTATTTTCCATACAATATTTCTCCTCTCTTTTGCATTCATTCTTTCTCAGTAATAAGCAGTAAGCATAGATTAGATACACCCATAAGATAGATAACAAGAGTGGATACTGTAGAGTAATACAGGCATGTGGGGTGCTAATATCTTCCCCTCGCGTAACAGACTCCCTTACACGATCTCGGTTGCAAGACCGTGACTTCTCCCTTCTCAGGTTTTCTCGATGCTTACCTTTACCTTCATGTGGGATAAAATACGTTTGATGGTGACTTCATTGTTTGATGATTTTCAGCTGGTTGTTTCACTTATGCGCGATATAACAAAGAACCATGTCCTTGGGCGTGTTTTAACATTTAAGTCACCCATCCAAATAAAGTGTCTAATTATATTCTCTTTGTTATCTTACTTAATTCTATTACTGTATTTTGATCTTTCAGTTATGTATATAATGGAATTATAAAAGAGAGGTGTCCACACACTCACATTCCAGTTTTCTTACATCCAGAAAGTTAGTACCCCACCCCACCGGACATTTACCAAATAATATGCGTCGAAATACCTAACCCCGTAGTTCATCCAACTTTGTAAAACTTGGTAAAATCCCATATGGTTCTCATACCTTGTGGTTTGTCTAGGAAATCATCATCGTGTATGAAGAACAATAAATGTACTAAATTATTTCCAAAGAGATTCATAGAAAATACAATTGTCAATGTTGAAGGCTATTCTCTTTACAGAAGAAGAACATCATCACACATCATCCAGAAAAATGGAATCTTTTTTTATAATAGACATGTTGTCCCATATAACACAAAGTTACTTTTGAAGTACCAGGCTCATATCAACATGGAGTGGTGTAATCAAAGTAATTCTATCAGGTATCTATTCAAATATATCCACAAAGGCTTTGATAGAATTTCCACATGCATTGTACATGCTTTGCGGCCCAACTCTAATGCTAACAAAGTTGTTGATGAAATACAATAATATCTTGATTGTCGATGTGTCTCTTTGTGCGAGGAAACATGGAGAATCTACGGTTACAAGATTCATGAGAGGAAGCCAACTGTTAAACACATGTTTTTCCACCTAATTGGTGAGAATACGCTTTTCTACACCAATCGTACCCGGATGCTAAATGTTTTAGAGAATGCGAGCGTTACAGAGTCTATGTTTTCCTCGTGGTTAATTGTTAATCAGACTTATGAGCAGGCCAGGTAATTAACGTACGACCAGTTTGTCACGATGTTTGTATACCATAAAATATTTAGAATATGGAAGATTCAGAAAAGGGGTTTATAATTGGCCGTTTAATTTGGGTTCCAACTTCTACGGGAGAACTATATTATCTACGGATGATACTGACATATGTAAAGGGACCTAAAACTTACGAGGAAATACGAAAGGTTGGGGATACACAATGCGAACTGTTTAAGGATGCATGTTTTGATATGGGTTTTCTTGAAGATGACCGAGAATACATCAGAGCCATTAAGGAAGTAAGTGAATGAGGGTCAGGTCATTTCCTTTGAAATCTTTTTATGGTTAAGCTTCTATCAGGCAATGTGAACAGGTCTGCCCATGTCTGGAAGGAGTCTTGGGTTTTACTGTCCGATGGTTTGTTGCATAGAGAGAGACAATTGGTGAATGAGAAAGGTTCAATTTATGGTACATTTAACATTTGCTTTTTGTTGTACTTATTTTCTTATATAGAACTCACCAAATATTCCCATTCAAAACCATACCACCTCATCCTTACGACTTCCATACATTGACTATGTTCCTGGTCTGAAGTAAATTTTTGTGTTACATAACTAATTTTGAATGAGGTGCAACTGATAAATCTCACTTTAATGGAGATTGAAAAATTTATACAACTCAATCGAAGACCTCTTAAAGACTTCAAACTGATACCATATCCTGATGGATATGTGTTGGAGTAACTAGGGAATCTCCTCATATACGAGGAAGGAAGTTACAACATTCAAACCATGAATGATAAGTTCAAACACTTCATGCGACTCTCATAGGTAGTGACATCTAACATATAATATGAAACAGTTTTGCACACGTACGTTGTTTATATTTCTGTTTTATATTTTTTTTCTTTTAAACAAATGAACATTATCGTATCTATGAAAGAATAATAATTACCGTTAAAAGTCAGAAGGGAAGAGTATTCTTCATGCATGGTTATGGGGGTACTGGTAAAACCTACATGTGGAGGACACTGGAGAGTGCACTTAGGTATAAGTACGACATCTGCATAACTGTTTCAACCAATGGAATTGCATTGCTATTGTTACCTGGTGGGAGAAACGCTCACTCAAGATTCAAAATACTTGTCCCTATGTTGGATAAATCAACTTGCTATTTTAAGTACAATGACGAAGTTGTAGAGCTACTTTGGTAGGCTAAGTTAATTATTTGGGACAAGGCTCCTATGGCCAATAAATGGTGCTTTGAAGCACTTGGCAAGACAATGAAGGATCTAATGAGTGTGGGTGGTAACTCCAGTGAAGTATTTGATGGCAAGGTTGTTGTCTTTGGTGGAGACTTTAGGCAAATATTTTTGGTAATATTCAGGGGTTCAAGATGTGACATTGTGTATGCAACCATACACGCTTCCTACATTTAGCACTCAGTGCAGGTGTTGACCTTAACCAAAAATATGCGTCTGAGCGGTGGTCGAACCGAAGACGATCGGAAGGAAATAGTCAAATCCTCTGATTGTCTTCTCAAAAAATAGGGGAAGGTAGACTGGAAGGTCCAAATGATGGGACCGCTGAGATAGAATTTCCACCAGAATTGCTAATCACACTATTTGAATGTCCTATTGTAGCCATTGTCACGAGTACATATCCATATTTCCTCAATAATTTCCTCAATAATTTCCTCAAAATGAATGATCATGTTTTATCCATGATGCCTGGTATGTTTACCGCCTATCATCATTTACTCAACTTTATAGTAAACTTAATTGTGGGACCTTAATGTCTGCCAAATTTTTTCTTTAGGTGACGTAAGGGATTACTATAGTTGTAACTCTGTTTACAGATTGGAGATACATGACAGGGACATGCTTGATGTTCTCACTCCAGAATTTCCGAGCTCTTTGAAAATATCTGGTTTGCCTAACCATCACATCAAGCTTAAGATTGGAACACCCGTTATGCTAATGTGGAACATTGATCAATCTGAAGGGTTGTGTAATGGTACATGCCTAATTGTGATAAAGATGGCGTCGCACTTACTTGAGGAACATATTACGGGGGGAAAATGACATGGAAACATCGTCTATATTCCCCAAATGGATATGTCCCTTTCTCAGTCTCACTGGCCTTTCAAGCTCAGTTGGAGACAATTCCCAATAATAGACTCATACACGATGATGATTAACAAGTCACAAGGTCAGTCGTTATATTGGATGGGTCTTGACATTCCTCGAGACGTATTTACTCATGGAAAAATATATGTAGCACTTTCAAGGGTTACCAGCAAGAAAGGAATCAAATTTTTGGTACACGATGAAAACAACACGGCCAAAAGTTCTACAACAAACATGGTTTACAAGGAGATTTTCAACAACGTCTGATCTGGCCTTCTTCATACACACATGTCGGCTTATAATTTAATAGCTTTTATGTGGGATAACTATGATTGGATGATATAGCAAGTTTATCCCATGATTTAGGTTGGTTGTGTTTTGCAATGTTACTGTTATGCCTCATTAAGGGGAGAAGTCTTCCTGTTTTGATGTTATTGTACACACGAAAAACTGATACTTATCATTGTCATTCAAGAAATTATATAATGATATTGTTATAACACGAGTAATCTATAAAGAAAGATAGTTCATTATTTGATTTAAAATGGAAACATATTAAGCTACAATAGAAATTAGACTGTCTCAATTATGGATAACCTCATAGCATACGTGAAACCATTATAGGTTGGTTCTTATTGAGCTTCTTATTGAGCTAATACAAAAAATAATAAGAGCATGCCATTTAAAGTTAACAAACTTTATATACGTGACATGTTTTGTTGGCGTCACTCACATCCAATCTAAATCTAATTTTGTCACCGCCTTTGAACTGGTTTGACTTGCAAAACTCATCCCATTCATAACCTAACTTAGTTTGATGTAAATCTTCTATGTTCAAAAACACAACAACATTTGAGTCCTTCCGTTATCATCGCAAAGTGTCAACACCTCATAATCGTGACACCTCAACAACCTTCAAACTCTGCCTGCAATTTCTACATAAATAGTACAGTTCGATATCAGCCTATGAGGTGAGACATAACAAAATATATGTTATGTTGTAATTTGAATAGAAATTTTAACTCAACTATTTTTGGTATTGACATACTAATTGGTGAAAGATCGACATCAAATGCATATATCTCTTTATGGTTGATGAACCTACTATGAAAATTTGGTAATTCCTCGAATGCAGTTATCTCTTTAAACCCGACAACCTCAAAATTGTTGTTCCCGTAATAACTGAGAACAATAACCACATCATTTGGTAGTTCGTAATACTTTGGAAGCTCTGTCCAACAACTGACCAACAACTGGTAGATCCTCATTTTCGTTGAAATGTATATCACAATGGGTACCTTCATTGTTTAGCATCCTCCATGTTCTTCCTAGATCTGTTATGTGACTTCTAACAAATAAAGGCTCAATCTCTGGAAATGACTACAATTCAAATAAAATACATTTTTAGAGTTAATATATAGAGTTATTAATTTATTTTTGCTTAGGGATACAAGTTTCAAAATATAACTAAAAACCACCCTTGCTTGATAAAATAACTTTGCAATTCCTAGGGTGTCCACGAGCTCTGGGTTAACAACTTTTTCTCTGCTACTCATGGATGTTAATAATTGAGGTCAGGAAGATGGGAGGTGAAAGGTTTTGACGACAACTGATTCTTTACTTTAGAGATGGATGAATAGTTCTTTTTCTTATGCATAAGGCCAAATACATAAGTTATAAAGCATGCATCTTCACGTGTGAACAGTAGGTCTGAAATGATCGATGACACACACCAACCTTTGGTGACTGTTGCCCTTTATTTATGTTGCCTTAATGGTGGAGATCCGTTACTTTTTACCACATGTATAAAGTTGTCCTTATTTCATTGGAAATTACATTTTGAACCGCCAACAATTTTTGATAACTAAACTACAACACATTAATACCTCGTGATTCTGTCCTAAATAGTGAGATACTCATTTTTGTTTCTATGCAACAAATACAAATAAATCTAATTCAAGGAAAGCATTGCATAAAACAAAACATACATAACACCTTACCAAACTCACACTTACTAATATTTTTATTTACACAAGTATTCCAAACATAACATAAACAATACTGCACCACACTTGTCCTTTGCTGAAAAAACTAATAACTTCTATTTTCCAACTCAACCATCCTTCTATGATATAGAAAATTACTTATTATGGGAAGCCCGACTATCATGCACCATTATTGTGTAACGTAAAACATGAAGCATACAATCCATTTTGTCTACATAAATAATATAACACAATGGATCACTAATGTAACATTACACAATTATACAAAGCAATCACTTATACATTAATGACCTACAAGAGCCTTTTAAATATGTCCACACCATAACATAATGGTAACCAATTTTCTGATGTTTAACAACCAAAATGCAAATTAAACTACAACTACATTACAACTTTTGTACATAACTTCGGTCCAAACATATTAACTTAAACTACAACACATGATAATTTTAACCATCACCTAAACTACATATACTACTTCAACCTACTTCTAAAATGCTAACCAAAATTCCAACCTTCAGCCTTCACACTTTTATCCATCAATGTACACAACAACATACAATCAACACCATCTTCAACTTGTATTCCCGTGCTCCACTGAAACCAAGATTGCATCCACGGGAGGATGACGAAAACAATACCATAATATCATACAGTATGCTTTTAGACAGACCTTGCTGACGATGTACAGGTATTCTTTCAATTCCTAAACAGTGGAGTTATAAGGAAGATAGTCCCTAATCAACCCCTTTGAGCCAAAGCAGTAGGAGTTTTCTTTTTCACACAAATTCAAACCTTTAATCAAAACCTGGGGCAGGATAGTTTCTCAGTTAATTCAAATGCGCGTTTAGTCGCAAGCTTTCACTTCATACATAACGAATGACATCAAAAACATCTTTCTAAATCAAAAGACGGTGTTGGTTCCACAAAAAATTGGCAGTCTTTACCTCTCAAAAGAAAAGCCCACTAGGTCAAAACCTATGAAGGAGACTTAAGAAAAACTGGGGCATCCCGCTGACTGTAGTCTCAAAACAAAAATAGTCAGGCAAAAATTAGGGATAATAAATCAAAAAGAGGTCGCTACAAATCCTCGACAACCAAAAAATGTTGCAAGAAATGACTGCCTTCTCCAATAAACTTAACTTATCTAAACCATCACCAAAATATCATTCCAGATTCAAAGGAATTCAAACGCACAATTAACTGAGTATAAGATTGGAGAACATCATGGAAAACGGGTTGGGTACAAACAAACTTTAAGCCTTATCCTTTGTTCCTTAAACCGTGAATCAGGCCACACTACAAACCTTTAAAAGTCCTAATCGAAGCATGGGTTAGTTCGAAAGCATACTGTTACAAAAGGTATCATGACTCCTGTAAGGCTTACTGTAAATCCTAAGTTAAATTCATATTCTTACAAAATTATTTGATTTGCTAAAAATGAGTTTTCAAAAACTTCAGAACAAACATAAACTTTGCATGGTTTTAATACCACTGTTTGCATATGGCCAATTGGTCGAAAACAGAAAAATTAGCACAGCGAATATCCAATAAATGTAAATTCTCTCAAGAAACATAATCACTTCAAATGGGAAGACACTTCCAATGAAAAATCTCCCATAATCAAGGGGGCATGACAGGTTATTATCCAACTCATCAGTGGCAGTCAAGTCAAGATTCTAAGAAATCTCTCATAAAGTCCTGAATAGCCAGTGGCAAGTCTCCATCTGAATCACTTGGAGCATTGAACATGAATTCCAGCAAAGGGTCACGTATGACCAAGAAAACATTTTCTGTTATTTCTACAACACTTGCTATCATAGATAATGATAACTCTCCACACGGACATAGTCAGAAAATACTACGCATAAAAGAGACCCGCTGGGTTGACACGCCTAGGAAAAAATAAGGGCATCTCGGTGAACCAAAAGGTTCGGGCAAAAATTAGGGATATATATGCAAAAGATTGTACACCCGGCAAGTCAAAAACCTAAAAAGGCGGCTTGGGCAAAAAAGGGTATCCCGTTGGTCTATAAACCCGAAAGGATAGTCCAAGCAAAAGTTAAGGATTAAAGCGTACGACTATGTCCCGTTATCTCATCATCTTGTCTATCAATAAAAGATTTGTCACTCTGATTAAAATTTACTAAGGACACTGGCAGAAGACAAAGTTCAAGCTGTCCACAAATCCCCACAAGGCCAAATTCATGGATATCCCCACATAATCACTTCAATAAGATTACCCCACAAAGTTGGATTCATGCAATACCCAACCAGAGTTTCAATCTCTCGAAAACCATCTCCCTAGCTAAGTTGGTCTTAAGAAAGAAGCCTTGTGAAGTTCTTCCTAAAGAATTCACTTCCCCAGTAGGTCGTCAAAATATTCTCTTCAAAAAGGTTTATTTCCCCAACAAACTACAAATTCCCCAATATGAGTCTTTCTCTCAGACCATTACAAATCAACGGACAAAACCCCTTGTCACCAGCGGAGTTGATACCATCCAAACAAATTACTGTGAAATCTAGACCCGACTAGATAACAGTTAATTCAATTTACTGTAAAGCCTAGACCCGACCAGATAATAGTTGATTCAATTTATTATAAATCCCAGACCCGACCAGAAAATAGTTCGAGTTGCTGGAACCTGGACCCGACCAAATAACAGTTCGAGTTGCTGAAACCTGGACCCGACCAGATACTAGTTAACCTCAAGATCAAATTGCTGAAACCAGGACCCGACCAGATAACAGTTCGAGTTGTTGAAACCTGGACCCGACCAGATACCAGTTAACCTTAAGATCAAATTGCTGAAACTTGGATCCGACTAGATAACAGTTCGAGTTGCTGAAACCTGGACCAGACCAGATAACTGTTCGAGTTACTACGAAACCTGGACCCGACCAGATAATAGTTAACTTCTTCAAATCACTAACAAAACTCCTCTTCCCCAGTAGAGTTTGCCACTATCCCTAGTGAGTTGCTGCAAAGCCTAGAATTTGATTAGATAATAGTTAACTTCTTTATCCTCAGCAAGTTGTTGTGAAGCCTGGAATCCGACCAGATAACAGCTAAACTTTCTTCCTCTCCAATCAAGAGATAGCTCCCCGATAAAGCAATGGACAACTAAAACTCCTGAACTCTATTCCCCGAGCAGAAATCAACACTCCCCGCAAAGTTTCCTCAAGCAAAGTTAATGTTCCCCGTTGGAATTCTCCTCAAATAACAAAGCAGGAATCCCTAGAGGAAACACTCTAAACAAGGTTTGAAGATGCACATACTCTTCATCCTCAACAGCGATCCGGGATTTAACTTCCCAAAACTCCCCAGCATTTGTCAAGGATTTATTTTTCCGAACAAAGATGCACTTCAATAACATTTCACATTTCATACATCATAACATATGCATACGAAGCGCATATAGCACAACCTCATTTTTGGGAGCATCATTACGCAATGCATTCCATACATCATGTTGTATACAGCTAACTCTTTACCTTTTCAGGAAAGATCAATCAACATATAATTATCATCAACAATTTTCAACAGGTCCAAGATTAATTCCTGAAATAAGACAGAGCAACTACCTACGCGACCAGATACAGCTTCACAGGGGCTCATCCTAAAGCAATCTTACACAGATTCCTTCTCATAAATTTCCAAATGTAGCTTCACATAGACTCATCATGAAGCAATCTTACATAGGTTCCTTCTAATTTCCATATGAAGTTTCACACAGACTCATCCCGAAGCAGCCCTACCCAGGCTCCTTCTCATGTATTTCCAGATGAAGTTTCACACGAACTCATCCCAAAGCATCCCTATCCAGGCTCCTTTTCATATATCTCCAGATGAAGTTTCACACGGACTCACCCCAAAGCAGCCCTACCCTGACTCCTTCTCATATATTTCCAGATGAAGTTTCACACGGACTCATCCCAAAGCAGCCTTACCCAGGCTCCTTCTCATGAATTTCCAGATGCAGTTTCACACGGACTCATCCCAAAGCAGCCCTTCCCAGGCTCCTTCTCATATATTTCCAGATGAAGTTTCACACGAACTCATCCCGAAGCAGCCCTACCCATGCTCCTTCTCATTGAATTTCCAAATGAAGTTTCACACGAAATTATTTCGAAGCAGCCCTACCCAGGCTCCTTCTCATATATTTCCAGATGTAGTTTCACACAGACTCATCCCAAAGCAGCTCTAACCAGGCTCCATCTCATTGAATTTCCAAATGAAGTTTCACACGGACTCATCCTGA